ACATGCTAGGCAAGTGCTTGCTACAGAGCCACAATCCTAGCCCGCAGTTCTTCTTATCACTACAACTTTGATTTCTGCTACTTTAGAGATCTTAATGCCTTTTTAAATGCATTTTTGTAGTTGTAGATGGACAGTATGTCTTTATTTTATTTGCCTCATTTTTATATGGTGCTAAGAATTGAACCCAGCACTTCACACATGCTAGGCAATTGCTCTACTACTGAGCTACAGCCGCAGCCCCCAGATCTTAATTTTTTTGTTTGATTGATAAATTGAAATTCTCAGTCTCATTTTGCTATAAGTTTGGATATGGTTTGAGTATGTCCCCCAGGGATTCCTGTGTTGGAGTTTGGTCCTCAATGTGGCCAATGGTGAGAGGTGGTGGAATTTTTAAGAAGTGAGGCTTTGTGCAAAGTAATCCAGTCATTGGGACACTGCCCTCAGAAGAGATCAATATAGTTTTCACGGGATCCTTGTTAGTTCCCTTAGGAGTAGGTTGTTATAAGAGACAGGTCCTTCCTCACTCTCTGGCTTCCTGTCTCGCCCTGTGATCTCTCCCTCTTGCATGTGCTTCTGACCTGAAGCCACTCACTACGTCATGACAGCCATAGTAGGCCTCACCAGAGCCCAGCAGAAGCTGGTGCCATGCTCTTAAATATCCAAAACTGAGCTAAATAAGCTCTTTTTCTTTATAAAATATCTAGCTGTTGTGGTTTAGGTATGAGGTGTCCCCCAAAAACTCATGTGGTGAGATAATGCAAGAATTTTTTAGGAGTAAAGTTAGGTTATGAGAGGTATAACCTAATAGGCAGATTAATCCACTGATATGGATCAACTAGCTGGGTGGTAACTTTAGGCAGGTGGGATATGGCTATAGGTCAATGGGCATGTGCTTTTGGAGTTTATATTTTGTCACTGATGAGCAGAGTTGTCTGCTTCCTGGTTGCTATGTCCTGAACAGCTTCCCTCTGTCTTGCCCTCTGCCATGATGTTAGCCCAGAGCTATGGAATTGATGGATCATGGGCTGAACCTCTGAAACCCTGAGTCAAAATCAACATTTTTTTCCCTCTATGTATTTTTTTTGAGCCACAGAACCTATAAGCATAATAAAATGGTCAGTTGCCTTATGGTACTCAATTTTGGGTGGTGCGTTATAAAACAATAAGCAGAATAGGTAAGTCTTCCTTAAGAATACTGAAATTAAAAAAAGTGATAACAGGGCTTTTTAAAGGGGAATTGATGAAATGGGTTGTATGGGATACAGATTGATGCAAAATTTCTCCAAATATACTTTGTTTTATGATTTTAACTTTAAAGTCATGGAAGTATTTTACATTTTAAAAACATTAACTTGGATATATAAACAGCAGTCCTGGGGCTTGGGTTATCGCTCATTGGTAGAGCGCTTGTCTAGTATGTGTGAAGCACTGGGTTCAATTCTCAGCACCACATATATAAATAAAATGAAGGTCTATCAACAACTAAAAAAAGTATTTTTAAAAACAGCAGTCCTTGGGGCTGAGGTTGTGGCTCAGCGGTACAGTGCTCACCTGGCATGAGTGAGGCACTGGGTTCGATCCTCAGCACCACAGAAAAAATAAAAATAAAGGTATTGTGTCCACCTACAACTAAAAAATAAATGTTTAAAAAAATAGCAGTCCTTAAACAATGAAAATACAAGAAACACTGAATCTGTGAATCAAATTAGCTAAAACAACTATTTTAAAAAATTTTTAGTTGTAGATGGACACAATACCGTTATTTTATTTATTTATTTTTGTGTGGTGCTGAGGATTGAACCCAGTGCCTCATACATGCTAGGCTAGACAAGTATTTTACCACTGAGCCACAACCCCAGCCCCTACTATTTTGACTCTACTTTCTTAGTGAATATTTCAAGGACAGGTAGTGATGTATAGCTTTAATTTCACTCAGCCTTTATTATTAGTATTAGCATGGTACTAAGTTGCTGTAGCTATTTTGTGCCTCTTATAGAACATAGCAATGACTGCATTGTTGAAAATCAAGTTTTTCAGTGTAAAAGAAAAAGCTACAACAGCTGGGCACGGGGCGCATGCCTGTAATCCCAGCGCCTTGAGAAGCTGAGACAGGAGGATAGTGAGTTCAAAGCCAGCCTCAGCAAAAAGAGAGGCACTAAGGAACACAGTGAGATCCTGTCTCTAAACATTAAATACAAAATAGGGCTGGGAATGTGGTTAGTGGTCAAGTACCCCTGAGTTCAATCCCTGGTACCGAAAAAAAAAAAAAGCTACAACATAGATTAAAAATCATGATATTAATCTGAATTGAAAGTATTAATATGAACTCATGGTTTTCCTTCCCATAACTTAAAAATGTTAATTAAGCTGTTATATAAGTGTGTATAAATAGATGTACAGTTGGATGAATTTTCAAAAACTGAATACATTAGTTAAATCAGCACCCAGCTCAAGTGACAAAACATTACTCACATTCTCAGAAAACCCCACGCTGTTTCCATAACAACTCTTTGAATGCCACACACCACCTCCCCAACACTATCCTGGCTTCTGTGTAGAATTTTTGTATTTTATATAACTAGAACATACAACAAGTTCTCTTTTCTGCCTATATTCTTTTGCCCAATATTGTGCTTTTGAGATTCATCTGTATTGTTGCATAGTCAGGTGGTTCTCATTGCAGTGTTGGGTTGACTTTTGACCTTCATTTCTAAAGAAAAGCATCAATCCAATCTTCAGAAATAAATGATAAGACATGTTGTTACATCCAAGGAAACATACCTTATACCACCCTCTAACATAGCTAACCACTTGACATAAAGTCTAAATTTTCCTGTCTCCCCAATCACTATTTTGCTTATAGCAATATCTGCTTACATGGATTCATATTCCAAAGAAACCTTCATGTAGACATTGAGAGTCAAAGTGGACATGGTAAAGTGCTCTCGAGGTTGAGTCAAGTCAAATGAATTCTCATTACTTCAGTTTTTGGATAAATTTATAGCTTTATTTCTAAAAAATGAATTGATTTTAATATACAGAACATACTTTTAAGTCCCTTTCCTGGAAAATGTCTTCAAATACAATCAAGTTTCATATTCCATTTGAGAAATGTTGGATTAATTGTCTTATCTTGAAGACCTAAGTAGGCCAATATGCTAGATGTAAGTAAAAAACACTAAAATTTTGTTCTGTAGTATGTTTGAAGAGAAGTTGAGAGATCAATATGTAACAATGCAATACACTGAATTTCACTACCTCCTAGTCATAGCAAGAGCAATGCAATTCAGTGAATGGCTACAGTGCAGTCACTCAAGTCTTAGTCTTTGGGTGGGGCTGTGGCTCTGTGGTAGTGCACTTGCCTAGAATATGTGAGGCACTAGGGTTTGATCCTCAGTACCACATTAAAAAAGATAAATAAAAGTATTTTTTAAAAATTGTCTTCATTATTTTGACAAAGGAATTTAAAAGCATTTGGTTGTAATTTTGCAAACACAGAATTCATTCTATTCTTCATATAGACAGCTAGAAAAACCCCCAAAGAATTAAGGTACTAGGGCTGGATTTTTTACTGTGATAAAAGTAAAGGTAGAATTCTACTGAAGGTAGAATGCCTGCAATGTATAATTAAGGTAGGATGAATCAGGCCCAAGATATTCCATACATGATTTACTGTTCTATATTTAGTTAAATAAACCACTGGATACAATTTACTAGAAGTTTTAATTACTAGATTTATCTTCATAAGGAAAGTCTACATTTTGTTTTTGTGGGCCCTCTTATCTAGTTTTATAATCAGTTTTAGGTTAGTCTTGTAGAATGTTAGAAAAGATGTAGTTAAGTTTTTTTCTCATAAAAAATCAGATTCTAAATGTAAGTTTTTAGAAGGGATATCTTTTAACTGTCTTAATTTTTCCTTCATTTATTGTTTACTTAGGTTTTCTTCAGCATGTTGAGACAATTTTGAAATTTTTTTCCAGAAAATAATTATAACTTTTTGATATTTAAAAATACAATACAGTGTATAAATATATACTCTATATAAGAAATCACACTTTTGTATACTTATAGAGTAAAACAATCTTTTTAAATTTTTAGTTGTAGATGAACACAAAGCCTTTATTTATTTATGTGGTGCTAAGGATCAAACCCCATGCCTTATTCATGCTAGGCAAATACTCTACTCTTTTTTTTTTTTTTTTTTTTTTTTTGAGAGAGAGGATTTTTTAATATTTATTTTTTAGTTTTTGGCAGACACAACATCTTTATTTTTTTTTGTATGTGGTGCTGAGGATCAAACCCAGAGCCACACGCATGCCAGGCGAGCGCGCTACCGCTTGAGCCACATCCCCAGCCCTAAGTACTCTACTCTTGATCTACAACCCCAGCCCCAGAACCACCTTTTTATTTTGTACTATGGATTGAACCCAGCAGTGCTTAATCACTGAACCACATACCTAGCCCTTTTTATTTTTGAGACAGGGTCTCCTGAAGCTGCTTAGGGCCTCACTAAACTGCTGGGGCTGCCTTTTTGTTGGGGTGGTGGTGGATGGGTAGGGACACCAGGGATTGAACTCACGGGCACTCAACCACTGAGCCACATTCCCAATCCCCCCTTTTTTATTTGTATTTTATTTAGAGACAGGGCTTCACTGAATTGCTCAGCACCTCACTGTTGCTGAGGCTGGCAAACTGCCATCCTCCTGCCTCTGAGTGTTCAACAACTAAGCCACTAGGGTTATAGGCATGCACTACCACACCTGGCTGAGGCTGGCTTTGAACTTGCAACCCTCTTCCCTCAGCCTCCTAAGCTGCTGGTATTACAGGCATGTACACATCCAGCAAGGACGATTTATAATTTAAAAAATCCATCACTGTCATTTCCCCATTCATATAGCTTTAATTTTGGTATCTTTCTTATTTGCCTTCTTTTTTTTTTTTGGTGAAAATTACCAAGTTCTTGATGTATTGATGCCATTTTAAAAGAAAACGCCATTGGCTAAAGTCTATATTTTTATTTTTTATACCAATGCTGACAATAGACATGTACAAACCACATAATTTAAAATTTTCCAATAGCCACATTAAAAAGCAACAAGTAATGAAATTAATTTGAATGTATTTTAAAATTCATTATACTATATCATTAAAATGTATCATGTATTGAGCCATATATCTAATATATTATCATTTCAATAAGAAAAACTGTTTTTAAGAACTTAATCTTCACCATCTTGTTTGTATTTTACATTTAACACCATTTTAATTTGGACTGGCCACATTTCAAGTATTCAACACTCAATTTCAAGTGATCCCGCATGTTGCTAGTGACTACAATATTTGTGCAGGTCAAATTCACATTTCCACATTTAGTTATAGTCACTGCTTTTCTTCACTTATTTTTTGTACATATGAAATGCCTACTGTGTGACAGATACTGTAATAGACACAGAGACAGGATGTGAATAAGCAAAATTTGAAACCTTTGTTTCTCAATACATTATAGTGTATTTAATATGCCAATGTGTAGACCTTTGGCAACATCCAAAAATTTTAATATTAGGCATTTAAAAATTATCCTTTTCAAACTGGCTATAATTTCATCATTAATTTTCTTTAGAAGAAGATTTTAGAAATTTTCAAATACATAAGAACTCAGAATTACAAAAACAAAACAAATAGAAACCATGCACCCAACATCTAGTTGGCTATCTTTTTACCAAACTTACATTATCCCCCTCACTTTGCTTTCTTTTTTTTTTTGTTTAATTTGGTATGGGAGATTGAACCCAAGGGCACTTAACCACTGAGCCACATCCCCAGCCCTTTTTATTTTGAGACAGGGTCTCACTAAGTTGCTGAAGCTAGCCTTGTGATCCTTCTGCCTCAGCCTCCCGAGCTGCTGGCATTACAAGTGTGTCCTCCCATGCCTGGCCCTCACTTCTTTTGAATGAACATTTAAAGAACATTCAAGGTATCACAACATCTTGTATATATAAATTTCAGAATTTATCCCTAATGAACAGACTTTTTTTATATAACCAAAACGCTATTCTCCACACCCAATAAAAACATGGTTTCTTAATTTACTACTAGAAACATTCTTATTTTCTCAGTTGCTGTGAAAATGTCATGACCTGAAAAAGAACCATCCATTCATTGCATTTGATTGATGTCTCTAAAGTTTTTTCAATATCTTAGGAGTTCTAGCTCCTTTTTTCAATGTTCTTTTATTGGTCGAGAAGCCGGGTCACTCCTCTTGTAGAACACCCACATTTACATTTGCTTTTTTGTTGTGTCATGGAATTTGTTCTTCCATTCTCTACTTTTTCTAAACTTGGAGTTGGATTTTCAGGCTTAAATTCACATTCAACATTTTTGGTGAGATGTTTGTATTTTATTGCATCACATTAGGAGGCACAGAACATTTTCTTGTCCTACTTCTGATCAGTGGATTCAGATGTTGACAGCCTGATCCATCACCATAACGTTCAAGTCAACCTTTCACTTACTGGCTTTGACCTCTATGAAGAATTAGTTCTACATCATCAACTACTTCGTCAACTTCTGGTTTTCCTGAAATACAGTTTACATAGGAAATACAGGCTAAATGACTTTTCTTTCTTTTTATTTATCTATTTTCAGAATGAGATGGTGCCCTGTCAACTTTCATAGGTACACTACACAGATAGAAGAACAGGGATGATAAAAGGTAAGGACAAAAGCTTTTTCACACTTCCTTAACAAAGTTCCTTTCTAGAGTGAATTTCCTGTAGTTTAACATGGCTTGAATGGTGAAAAAAGGCTTCTACATAGTCATTAAATTAACATATGTTTTCTTTAAATACAAACTTTATACTAAGTTGTGAGCATGAAGCAAAAAGGATTCCTACATTCGAAAATTTTCCTCTATAATTTATTTTCTAATGCTCTTTAATACTACGTTCACATTTGAAGGATTCTTATAATTACTAAGTTACATTATGAATTCGCTGATGGTAAGTGAGGTGTGAATGTTGTCTGAAGGCCTTCTTACATTCTGAACATTTGTAGGGTTTCTCACCAGAATGAATTCTCTGATGTTGAATAAGTGATGAATGAAGTCTAAAGGCCTTTCCACATTCCTTACAGTCATAGGGTTTCTCACCAGTGTGAATGCTCTGATGTTGAGTAAGCTGTGAGAGCAGTCGGAAAGTCTTCTCACATTCCTTACATTTATAGGGTTTCTCACCAAAATGAATGCTCTGGTGTTGAGTAAGTTGTGAGAATAGCCTAAAGGCCTTCCCACATTCCTTACAGTCATAAGGTTTCTCTCCAATATGAATACCTTGATGTGAAATAAGTTCTGAGTAACGACGAAAGAACTTCTGACATTCCTTGCATTCGTAAGGTTTCTCACCTGTATGAATTCTCTGATGGAGAGTCAGGTGATAGCCGCGACTAAAGGTCTTCCCACACTCCTTACAATCATAGGGCTTCTCACCTGTGTGAATCCTCTGATGTAGTGTAAGTTGTTGGCGTACCCTAAAGGCCTTTCCGCACTCCTTGCAGTCATAGGGTTTTTCACCTGTATGGAGTTTGTGGTGGATTCGAAGGCCGGTACTGCACAGAAAAGCCTGCCCGCATTCCTTACACTCATAGCACTTCTCACCGATGTTAAGTCTCTGGTGTCGAGTAAGGTGTGCATACTGTCTGAAGGTCTTCCCACATTCCTTACACTCATAGGGTTTCTCACCAGTGTGAATGCGCTGGTGGAGAGTAAGCTGTCCCCGCACTCTAAAGGCTTTCCCACATTCCTTACATTCATAGGGTTTCTCACCAATATGAATTCTCTGATGTACTCGAAGGTCTGAGCTACATGTAAAGATCTTCCCACACTTTTTACATTCATAGAGTTTGTCAGATGTATGAATTCTCTGATGTCTACTCAGGTGGGCACATTGTCTAAAGGTCTTTCCACATTCTTTGCATTCATAGGGTTTCTCACCGGTATGGATTCTCTGATGGAAAGTAAGTTGTTGGCGTACTCTAAAAGCCTTCCCACATTCCCCACATTCATAGGGCTTTTCTCTATTATGACTTTTCTGATATAGAGCAAGAGATGTGAGTTTTCTGTAAGTGGGTATTTTTTCAGAGGTGTTTTTTGTCACTTGCCTGAAATAGACTTTGTGAGGACCCTCTTGTTCCTCAAACTTTTTATATTCACCGCCTTTTCCAAAAATAGAATAATCAAGGCCACGACTTTTAATTCTTTCCATTATTTCCCACTGAGATAAATTCATTTCATAAATATCCTTTTCTTGAAATAACTTTTTAGTGTCATATTTGGATTCCAAATCTGAAAGGAAATAAGATAAACACAATATTTTTCTATCCTTGATGAAATAAATAAGCAAATAAAAATTTTACCATAGAAAACAAAAACACCACAGAAAATAAATCTCACTTGAAGCAAATGGGCTAAATAAACCTAAAATAATCACATAATTGGAAAAAAACAAAAAAGCAAAAAGGAATAGAGAAATGGTGAGTTAAAACTTGATTATCTGGATGAAGACTAAAGTTTGAGAATCCCTACTTTAGTTTTTTAAAAATATTTTTTAGATCTATGGACCTTTGTTTTATTCATTTATTTATATGTGGTGCTAAGAATTGAACCCAGTGCCTCACACATGCTAGGCAAGCACTCTACCACTGAGCCACAGCCTCAGCCCCCCTACTTTAATTTTTAATTTTAATCCCTACTTATTTTTTTATCTTCTTAAAGATAAAAAAAATAAGTCGTTTTTATCTTCTTGAAAATAAAAAATAAAGTATAAAAAAAAAAGGGTAAACACTTCCCCATGAATAGCTGGGCTTCAGCTCACCATCATGTATCAGCTTCACCCCGTGTCCCCTTTGCTGCCTCTCTTACTGTCACACTTGCCTCCTTCTCAGTTCCTAGAACATGTGACAATCTTCATTTCTTACAGCTTTTCATCAGCTGTTGAATCTCCTGGGAATCCCAACTTGGGTTTACAGGGCTGGATTCCTTTCACTAGTCATGTATCATCTGAAAATTCAGAAAACTATCCCCACTGACTTCTATTTTATGTTCTTTATTTTCTATCCTAGTTACTGGCTTAATATTTTCTCAATTTTTTTTTTACTCATGTATATCCCTGCTGATTATTCTTGTTATTTTCTTACAGAAACAAATATTCACTCACCAACTGATTAACAGACCAATAGTACATAGTAACTGCTAATTATTAAATTCCCATAAGTAGTTAACAATAAATATGCAGCCCAATCTCCAAAACTATGCCTTGATTAAACACACTTTTTTCCTTTGAATACTAAGAATTGAACCCAGGGCAGTGCACATGCTAAGTAAGTGCACTACCATTAAGCTCCACCCCCAGTCCTTCTAATTTTTATTTTTGGAGACAGAGTCTTGTTAAGCTGCCTGAACTGGCCTCAGATTTGGCAATCTTCCTGCCTCAACCTCCTAAGTATCTGATATTATAGGAGTGTGCCACTGTACCTAGCTTATTTAAGTATTCTTTTTATTATTTCCTATAGAGATGGAAAACAAGCACATTTAAGCTACCTTCACCAACTATATAAATAGAAAATGGTGATTTATTTCCACCTGACAACCCTTTTGACAGCCTCTCTACTTACACTTGCAGATATCTCCACTGCAGCTGAAGTCCTTCTTGGCATGGTGAGGAGAGAACTTGTCTCCTTTTATAACCAGGTAATGAGAAGTTCTACTTATTTATCTTCATTTGAGTTATTTAATGATGCACATCTGTGTTTTAAATACTCAACCTGTATACTCCATACCCTTCTCCATAATGTCCCTGAAGTCCTCATAGCCAAATCCATTGGGGGTACTTCTTAGTGTATCTTAATGATTTTTCATGCTTAACAATAGGTTTATTCCATAGTAAAAGGTGAATAAATTCTGAGCAAAAAGATGTGTATTTTCTTAGCAATTTTGTGATAAAAATTTAATGCTGTCTAAAAAGAAAGCATTTTAAAAAATATATATATATATAATAAACCAATATTATCTGTAAAATGCCCAAACTGGAAAGAATCTCAGTGTTCATCAACAGATGAATGGCTAAGAAATGATGGCACATCAGCACAGCACCAGAGTGTACAGCAGAAATGAAAAACACTCTACAATCATGCAACAATGAGGACAAATCCAGACACCCTGGTGAGTAAACAAAGTCAGACATAATACAAAATATACTGTATGATTTCATTTTTATAAAGTAAAAAGTAAGCAAACTAATCTATGGTGTTAAAGTCCAAAGAGTAGTTAACTGTAGAGTGTAAGAATGACTGCAAGGAGTGGGGGGAGGCTATAGGATTCCAGGAAAGTTCTATTTCTGAGTCTGTTGACAAGATGGGTGTGATTACGTTCTTAAAATTCAATGAACTGCTCACTAATGATCTGTGTATTTTTCTTACGTATATTTATATTTTTAAAAATTCACTTTTGGGCCGGGCACAGTAGCACACCCTGTAATCCCAGTGGCTCGGGAGGCTGAGGCAGGAGTAACTTTGCGAGGCACTAAGCAACTCAGGGAGAAACTGTCTCTAAATAAAATACAAAATAGGGCTGGGGATGTGGCTCAGTGGTTGAGTGCTCCTGAGTTCAATCCCTGGTACCAAAAAAAAAAAAAAAAAATTCACTTTTGGTCTGGGGTTGTAGCTCAGTCATAGAGCGCTTGCCTGGCACATGTAAAGCACTGGGTTCAATCCTCAGAACCACATAAAAATAAATGAAATAAAGGTATTGTGTACAACTACAACTAAAAATTAAATATTTTTTTTAAAAAGTATATACAGTAGCTAGAAAGAAAAAGGAATAAAGGTTGGGGTGGATCTCCTAAAAATCAAAGAGAGATCAATAAAGAAGAGAGATCAAGGGGTGGGAGGCAGGGAGAGAGGCAGAAAGTACTGGGGAGTGATATTGGCCAAATGATATTGTTATATTGTGTGTGTGTGTGTGTGTGTGTGTGTACAAATATGTAACAACAGATCCTATCAATATGTACAAATATAATGCACCAATAAAAAAAAATGTGGGGAAAAAAGGGCTAGGGATATAGCTCTGTGATAGCATGCATGAGGTCCTGGGTTCAAGCCCTAGTACAGAAAAAAAGAAAAAGAAAAGAAAAAGGACATACTAAAAAGACTGAAAGGGCTATAAAAATTTCAGAAGTATGGGTAAAATGTGAGTGGAGAAAGGTAAATGAATGGTGCGAGAAAGGTAAATGAACGGTGCACAAAATACTATTAAGAAAACTATACATCTGTTTCTCTATTTTCCTACTTAAGAAAACAAAAAAAATGCAACTTTGTAGAATTTTGCGGAGAAAGTCAATTTAGGGTCTCAATAAGACAAGACATAAATGATAGATAGATGACCATGACTGGCTATATAATAGTAGTAAATGAGTAGGCAGTTAACAAGGCATGAAAAAGGGAAAAGGGGAAGGGATGAGAAAAGGGTAAGAGGAGACACTAGGGGCTAAAATGGAGTAGATTAAATTGCATGCATGTATGATCATGTCAAAATGAACCCAGCTATCATGCACCAGTAAAAGCAAAAAGGTATGATAAACCTAAGATGGTAATTGTGGGACTTACTTGCAAGTTAAATGAGCAATATAAAAAGGAAAGTCATAATCCAAATCAAAATAAAGTGCTAAAACATTCATAAGAAAAGCAAGCAAATGTTAATGTTTGCGGGGACCCATGGGTAAACTGAGTGATGCTTAAGCCATTAGGAAAGGAAACTCAGTTGTAAAAACTCCCAGGCAGAACCCCCTGGTTTGAGAATGCCTACTTCAGGTTGGCACCCTGTTTTAGCTTACTACTCAAGTTCTAGCTCAGCCTGGGAGATGGAATGACCTTGTGGAGGCCCACAAACTAAACTAAGACTCCTCCCGCAGAACCTTACCCCTGAATTTGATGCACTTCCCCTTAAATAAAGAATTGGGGCCTTTTTTCAGTTGTTCATTTCTAGCTCTTAACAGGACTGGAAGATTCATCAGGCGCTTCTCTTTAAATCTAATTTTTGCTTCTTTCTTTATTTTTTACTGATGTATTTCAGACTTTTTATTTCCCAGGCACCTCACACTTCCTGAGCAGGAACCTACTGTATCTGGGTACAGGCCACACTGGTATAAATGTTCACATCACAAAAGCCCCTACAAATTGACATAAGAAACATTAAAGAAAGAAAAAGAATAAAGAAAGTGAACAGACAATGCACAAAATAAATATAAGCATAAACAAATTTGGTAACATTCTATCATTCCTTTTTCATTTAGTCACTGAATAATTTTATTAAGAGGATAAATGCTTCTTTTCCTTTGAGTTTCTGTTTTTAAAATAAGTTAACAACACTTGAGTATATTCCAATGGTCAATAATTTGCTATTAATATTCATTAGGAGTTTATGGAGGGGGTTAGAGATAACAGCTCAGTGCTTGCTTAGTATGCTTGAGGCCCTGGTTTAGATCCCCAGCACCACAGACACACACAAAATTATGGAACTGAGTATATTCTATCATTATTGTTATTAAGAGTGTTAATGCTCAAATGATCCCATCTTTAGTCAATTGGAGCTTCCTCAAATTGATTCCTGTTCCCTGAACACTCTACCTAAAAATCACTCATTCTAATTTTCCATATCATTACCTTATTCACTTATCTTTATAGTACTTAATCATTGCAGGATATTTAGTAAACCTCTTATTTGTTGTCCTGTTTTGCAGTGCTGGCCATCAAACTCAGGGCCTCCCATATGATAGGCAAGTACTCTACACCTCCAGTGTTTACTTGTTGTTTGTAGACTACCCCACTACAGTGTAAACTAAAAAATAGAGTAATGAATATAAAATATAAAAGTTAAAATACAAAAGGTGAGCTAGAAGAAGTTAGATCCAAAATACAGGTAAAATGGTTATTATTAGGGAAGAAAGTTTTCCCCTACTGTGAGAGAGAAGAAACAAGGGGTAAGTCGAGTGGGGATGAAGTTTCTTTGATGACACACTGAGAAGATCTAAGTTTCCTTCCCAAGTTTTTGGTCTCTTCTTCACAGTCAAGATCTATGGGGTATGTTTTCTTCTAACAAATCTTCCCAGCAGGTCTGTGCCATGCTGTCTAAAACACCCAAATAGCACTCACTCACCTAGGCTCCATCTTCTTTTCTCATCCCTCACAATCATCCAGGGATCCTTCCCTTGTTCCAACAGGGTAATCACGTCTGGCTTAGAAATGGAACATCCTGCTTGACAGAAGAGAATAGAACATATTACAGAAAGAATTTATTTGATCAAGCTTTCAGAACAAAAAAGGTTATCAGGATTAAAAACACTCAAATTAGAATTACTTCAGGATCACAAAGAAAAACAAGAACTGAGAGGTAGGGACATGGTCTTATTTTAATTTAAACTCATCTAGGCTGTCTTTTGAGAGAAAATTATAGTTGAGAACACTGGTTTCAAATCCTGCCTCTGACAGGTGGGTCACCAAAGCAAATAATATGATCTCTCTGTGCCTCAATTTGCTCAGTTGTAAAAAGGAGACAATGGTATTGTGTATACATGGGATTGTTGTGAGGTTTGACTTAGTGTCTGTTAAGATAACTCCCTAGTATATCACAACCATATGCCTATTAGGTATTTTTTGATATTATTTTGCTGAGAGAAAAATAACAAGCTTTTTTCCAGAATATTTACCTAATGTTAAATGCAAAGTTCATTTATTTTAGAAGTTGTAAAATAATATGTCAGCTGGTCATGGTGGTGCACATCTGTAATCCCAATAACTTGGAAGGCTGAGGCAAAAGGATCACAAGTTCGAGGCCAGCCTCAGCAACTTAGCAAGAGTCTGTCTTAAAATAAAAAATAAAAAGGAGGTTTGGGGATGTAGCTCAGTGATATAGTGCTGCTAGTTTCATCCCCACTACTGCAAAAAAAATTAATATGTCTATTTCAGGAAACTGAATATGTCCAATCGAGGTTTTTTTTTTGGTACTGGGGATTGAACCCAGGCGTACTTAACTACTGAGCCACCTTCCAAGCCCTATTTTATTTTGAAACAGGGTCTTAATAAGTTGCTGAGGCTAGTTTTGAACTCTTGATCCTCCTGCCTCAGCCTCCTGAGCCACTGGGATGACAGGTGTGTGCCACAATGCCTGGCAACCACTTGGGTTTTGACAAACTGTTGATTCAACTCATCACCATGTACATATAAAGACTTTTTTAATAGTTAGGCAGAGGCAGAATCTCTATCTTCCTATTCTCATTACAAGTGAGTCCACAAATAACATGGACTAGTAGTATGGAATTTTATTTCTTTGACAATACTTTTGTTGTGTTTAAGAATTTATATCCAGATGCCATTAAAGAGCAGTAATTACAGTTGGGCATAGTAATACACGCCTGTAATCCTAGCAGCTCCAGAGGCTGAGGCAGGAGGATTGAAAATTCAAAGCCAGCCTCAGCCACTTAGTGAGGCCCTAAGCCACTTAGTGAGACCTTGTCTCAAAATAAAAAATAAAAAAAGGGCTGGGGGGGCTGGGGATGTGGCTCAAGCGGTGGCATGCTCACCTGGCATGCGTGCGGCCCGGGTTCGATCCTCAGCACCACATACAAACAAAGATGTTGTGTCTGCCGAAAACTAAAAAATAAATTAAATTCTCTCTCTCTCTCTCTCTCTTAAAAAAAAAATGTTTAAAAAAAAAAAAAAAGGGCTGGGGATGTGGCTCAGTGATAAAGCGCCCCTGGATCCAAACCCCAGTACAAAAAAAAAAAGCAGTAGTAATAGACAAAGGAAGATGTAAGGGTCACTGAATTTTGGGAGAAGATAAAAGTGCTTCTTTTTATCAAAGAGATATTCAGCTAGTTTTTACAAAGAGAGCCTGAAAATTCAGTCTTGTTAATTTCTAAATTATTTGACCCAGATAAGCTTACCAAGTGACAACAAGTTGCTGTAGTTCTCCAAAATCACATCTCTGTATAAATTCCTCTGATAGGAGTTCAGGCATTCCCACTCCTCCTGAGAAAAGTCTACAGTCACATCTCTGAACATCACCAAATCCTGAAATGACAAACCCATGTATTGTTGGTAAGATAAAAGAATGTTTTCAAGGGGCTGGGGTTGTGGCTCAGCAGTAGAGCGCTCCCCTAGCACGTGCGAGGCCCTGGGCTTGATCCTCAGCACTGCATAAAAATAAAATAAAGGTATTGTGTCCAACTACAACTAAAACAAAATGTTTTCAAGGTGGTGGAAGGGTCTTGACTATATGTTCATTTTATATGTTAAGTGAATAGGCTGGAGCTGGATGCCCATGATGTGGGTAAGTGGGAATAAGGAAATAAGTCTGACGGAAACAGAATAGCTACATATTCTTGAAGATTTCTTCCTCTCCCTCTTTCTGGTACCAGGGTCGAACTCAGGGCTTTGCATATGCTAAGTAAGTACTCTACCAGTGAGCTACATTCCCAGGCCTCTTGAAGATTTCTTAATGTGTATGAGGGGTTGGCAGACATTTTCCATAAGAGGTCAATATTGTAGGCTCTGCATACCACATCCACGTTGCATATTCTTTTTTAAAAACCAGTTCTTTCAAAATACCATCTGCTTGCAAGCTGTATAAATACAGTTCTCAGGCTAAATTTGATTACAACTTCAAATGTATAGTATTTGTAGTTTGCCCACAATTGCTACAGCTAAAACTTCCATATAAAATGGAATACCTAATTAATTTCCGACATGTTCAGGTAATTATCAGAATTTCCCTATTAACTGAAATAGGTTCATAAGAACCTATTATCTTTTCCTTTAAGAATCAGAAAAAAAAACAACTGATGAAAAATTTCCCCCAGGGGCTGGGGATGTGGCTCAAGCGGTAGCGTGCTTGCCTGGCATGCCGCAGTGCGGCCCAGGTTCATCCTCAGCACCACATACTAACAAAGATGTTGTGTCCGCCGAAAACTAAAAAATAAAAAAAGAAAAAAAAAAGAAATTTCCCCAAATGAACTATAAAAATCTCTATTTTTTTAAAAAGTAGTGTTTACATGAACTTAAAGAATTTCTTCCAGGAGCTGGGGTTGTGGCTCAGTGGTAGAGTACTTGCCTAGCGTGTGTGAGGCACTGCGTTCGATCCTCAGCACTGCATAAAAATAAACAAAATAAAGGTGTTGTGTTCATCTAAAACTAAAAGTAAAATAAAATAAAATAAAGGTATTGTGTCCAACTACAACTAAAACAAAATACTAAAAAAAAAAAAAAGAATTTCTTTCAGACCTAACTATTGTTAAATTGTATCATTTGCATTTTTTCTTATTACAACAAATCATTTTTTGAACTTAAAATTTAGCATACAGTAGTCAATTTTTTGATGTTAGGCTTAATAATAGTTGTATTTAGATATTTCTATACTTTTAAATATATTAAATGATATTTTGAATTTACATTATACAAAATTCTAAAGCTGCAATATCAAACATCCTAGCTTAGAAATGTGGTTGCTGAGCAATTAAATTGTGAGTAGTCCAAATTCAGGTGTGCTGTATATGCAAAATACATACCACATAGTAATGACTTTAGAAAGAAAAAAAAGAATGTAAAATATCTCAATTTTTATATTAATTATACTTTGAAATGATAATATTTTGGCTATCCTGGGTAAATAAAACATTAAAATTAACTGCACCTGTTTTTTAATATGAATACTAAGATATTTAAATTATATACCTGCCTTGTATATCATTCTATATGTTTAGAATGTGACTACTAGAAAATTTCAACTTATGGTCTGGGGTTGTGGCTCAGTGGTAGAGTGCTCACCTAGCACGTGTGAAGCCCTGGGTTCAATCCTCAACACCACATAAAAATAAATTAATAAAATAAAAGTACTGTGTCCAACTAAAAAATAAATATTTTTTAAAAAATATTTTTTAAAAAGAGAAAATTTAAACTTACATATATAGCTCACATTATAATTCTTTTGGGCAGTGTTCTTAGGATCAGTGTTCTCTGACCCTAAAAGCCTCAGATCAAATACCACCCCCCAACCCAGGGAATTCATTTCTGCTTCACCTGCTCTAGACAGAGACCACATACAAAGGAGATGCTGAATGATTTGGTCAATGCACAGGTGGACAAGGTGGAAAAGAGAGGAGTATACAGGAGGTACCTGAGATGTTGGGCTCCATCCCTCATTAGGGAGCAGTTACTGGATGGGGCTCTTTAAGAAGTTTCAGAATAACAATAAAAATGTTCACATACCCTGGAAAAATAAAGATGGAATTTCAAATAGAAAAACCAACTTACATGAGCCATGATTTTAGAATTGCAAGAAATGGTCAGTTTTCTTCAAGGTTCATTTATTGAAGAAGCAGAGTCCACAGAGGCCGGAGCTATAGGAACAATGTAAGCTCATTAAGAACAGTTTCCAAAATTTAAAAATCATATATACCATTTTCCCATCCCTACATGCAACTGTGGCTCCCAACACACAGACAGGTCATGAAAGTAAGAAGTAATTAAGAACTCTTCCCAAAACTATAGGGAAATCTGCTGTACAAGGAATAGACACAGAGCAGACTCTCCTGAATCAAAGCACATGCTCAGACACTTCAACAGGAGGGCTACCAGGTGGTCTCTATGCCACACCCAAGGATGAGGACCTGACAATGCACTGCACAGAGTCTTGAGCAGATCCTCCTCCCTCCATTCCCGCTTTCTTGGTTAAATGCAGGCTACACTTTCTAATCCAGAACTTCCTTCTTGGATTTAGAAATCTGTTTGACCTCCACAAACCTAGAGATAGAAAATAGCATAGACAAAAATTTCCCAAGCTTTGCTGTAAATTGGATAACCTGGAGATCTTTAAAATATACTGACTCCCATCTAAAACATTCTGATTTAATCAGTATAGTACATGACCTGGAAATCAGGATTTTAAAATACTTCCACAGGTTTTTATAAAATCCCCTTTGAAGATTATAATGGGCAGCAAAATTTGGCAACCAAACTTAAGTGCATATCAGAATCAACTAGAGGACTAGTTAAAGAGACTGCTGAGTATGGAGATTCCTCAGAAAACTAGGAATGCAACCAACATTTGACCTGGTTATACCACTCCTTGGTATATATCCAAAGGACTTAAAATCAGCATACTACAGTGTTGTAGCCACATTAATGTTTATAGTAGCTCAACTCACAATAGCTAAGCAATGGAACTACCCTAGTACCCTTCAATAGATGAATGGATGAAGAAAATGTGGTTATATCTACACAATGGAATATTACTTAGCCATAAAAAGAATGACTTTATGACCTTTGCTAATAAATAGAAGGATCTGAAGACTATCCGCTAAGTGAAATAAGCCAATTCCAAAAAAAGCAAAGGTCAAATGTTCTTTCTTATTTGTGGATGCTAACACTTAGGTGGGGGGAGAATAGAAGTTCAATGGATTAGACAAAGGGGAATGAAGTATTAGACAAAGGGGGACAGGAATAAGAAAAACAATGGAATAAACTAGACATAATTTTCATATGTGAATACGTGACCAGGGAAATTCCACATCAAGTTCAACCTCAAGAATGGGATCCTAATTAGAGTAAGTTACACTCCATGTATGTATAATATGTTCAAAATACACTCTATTGTCATATATATCTAAATTGAACAATTTTTTTTTAAAAAAAAAAGACTGTTGAACTTTACTCCCAAAGTTTGGTATTCAGGAGATTTGGGACTGCCCTTCTGGATATGCATTTCTAAAAAGTTTTCAGGTGATGCTGATGCTGCTGGTCCAGAGGCCACATTTCAAGAACCACCTGTGCAGACCATGTGGAGAGCCTTTATCACGGCAAAACTGCAGCTGTCCACTGGTCCCTTTCCCTAGGCTTAACTAACCCAGAATCCTCAGAGTTCACTGCTCACTATTTTCCTATTGGGGATCATCAATAATGCCTGCATGATCTCAATTACTATCCAGTTTTCCTTGGTACAAACAGACAGGATACAAGTAAATCTGTGAACACTGAGCATGAATTATTTTTTAGAAAGTAAAAAATAACTCATCTATATATTAGTTAAAACCTACTAATAAGTAAGGAGACACATATTAAATAAAATGATTTAACAAATCTGAAAAATAGATGGTACTTCTTGGTCTGACACAAAGAATGAAATGGTGTACAGAGAGAAATTGTTTATAATGAGACCAAAAAGCTAAATGTTTTTCAAGAATGTTAAATTATTATGTATTCTCTCAATGGAAATGAAATACCCATTAATAATGAAGGTAATTTTTTTTTTTTTTTGGTACTGGGGATTGAACTCAAGGGCACTCAACTACTGAGTTACATCCCCAGTCTTATTTTGTGTTTTATTTAGAGACAGGGTCTCACTGAGTTGCTTAGCACCTCACCATTGCTGAGGTTGGCGTTGAACTCTGCCTCAGCCTCCCAAGCTGCTGAGATTACAGGCGTGAGCCACCACACCTGGCAAATTCTTTACTAATGTCACAGGAAAATGATCACTACATACTTCTCAGGGAAGATGGCAGGTTTGAAAATAGTATTGTAGGGCTGGGGATGTGGCTCAAGCGGTGGCGCACTCGCCTGGCATGCGTGCAGCCCGGTTAGATCCACAGCACCACATACAAAGATATTGTGTCCCCCGAAAACTAAAAAAAAAATAAATGAATATTGAAAATTGTCTCTCTCTCTCTCTTTTTTTTAAAAAAAGAAAATAGTATTGTAGTGTGACTGTATTTTGGCAAGACTCCATACACTTGCATGCATGTCTATGAGTGTGCATAAAATAACCTAGGAACTGTAATAAAATTTCATTGTATTTTATAAAATTTCTACCACTACGAGATGGGTTCCCAGGTAATCTTTTTTTTAATATAACTTTATTTTATTTATTTTTTATGTGGTGCTGAGGATCAAACCCAGTGCCCCACCCACACTAGGCAAGGGCTCTACCATTGAGCCACAACTCCAGCCCCCAGGTAATCTTTACTTTGTTCTTTGCTGGAGTTTCTGAATTTTTTAATTAAAAACTTACAAGTCTGTGTCACTTAACCTGGGCATAATTCAAAATAGCTGTAAAAGAAATATTATAAAAAGTTCTAAAAGTTCTATTCCTGATATCCTGACCCTCATCTTCCAAATGTAAAGATAACCATCTTTACCTCTTTTAGTTTGCTTCTTTTGGTATTTAAAATCTGTACATCTTTCTTTTCATGGAGATGTTATGGGGGACAGGACTGAAGGCTTTGCACATGCTAAGCAAGCACTCTACTACTGAGCTATATCCCCAGCCCATTACATTTTGTATATTTAAATAACATACTAATAATGCTTATTCTGAATTTTTGGCTTTAATCATTACTTATTCACTTCCTATTGTGAAAGGTATAGTTTAAACTATCTTTTGTCACCTACCTCAACCCCACATAGGCCCAGCTGAAGTCCCCTTATCCTTCCAATATGGTTTTAATTCCTTTTCAGGGCAAATGAATATTTAGTTTATTTTATTGTGGTTATGTCACCATTATAGACTGAGTTATACTCAGACAATTCTGCCATCCTTACACAGTCTTTTTCTTCTCTGAAATCGAAATAATTTTATTGTTTTGTTTTTGTTTTTGGGGTACTGGGGATTAGACTCAGGGGCACTCAACCACTGAGCCTCATCCCAAGCCCTATATTTTTTGGTATTTTATTTAGAGACAGGGTTTCACTGAGTTGCTTAGCATCTTGCTTTTGCTGAAGCTGGTTTTAACTCATGATCCTCCTGGCTCAGCCTCCTGAGCAGCTGGATTACAGGCATGCGCCACTGTACCTGGCTAATTTCGTTTTTGTAAGCTTGGAAAATAATTGTTAACTTCCCAAATGCTTGATAAAGGCAATGACTAACCATCACCATTTAATAGGAAGAGATATTATTAATTTGGGATTAAGTGACAGGTATGAGTTATACAGATATTAATTCATGTAATCTTAAACACTGTCCTTCGAAGGCTGGAGTTGTGGCTTAGTGGTACAGCATTTGCCTCACATGTGTGAGGCACTGGGTTTGATTCTTAGCACCGCATATAAATTAAAAAAAACTAAAAAATACCTTTAAAAAAAATGCCCTTTGAAGTATATACTATTACAATTTTGACTTTACACATGAAGAAACTGGCATGAAACAACCCAAAGTCACTCAAATTTGGGTCACAGTCAGGATTCAAATGCTCCCCCGGCCCCTCACCTTTAGAATTATTTAAACATAAATATACAACAGGTTCTTAACTCTACACACACATTTAAATTTTTTTTTAAAGAAAAATGTTATGTCTTATCACATCAAGATCCTGGCTAATAGCTTTCCAAAACTCCGAGAAAAATCTTACAAAAAACAGTTTTATATGTCTCATCTGGAATTTACAAATTCAACATTATCAAAGAAGGAATTCAAATCCTCTTAATCTAGGTGCAACATTCTTAGCCACCATCATTTAACACCTTTCTGGGTCCATCCACAGATACACCAAACCCCAAACCACACCTGTCTAGTGCTGAAATTTCATTTATTTTCTTTTTCTTTTTTAAAATAATTTCCTTAGTTGTAGATGGACAATACCCTTATTTTATTTATTTTTATGTGGTACTGAAGATTGAACCCAGTGCCTCACAGGTGTCAGGTGAGCGCTCTAGCACTGAGCCACAAACCCTAGCCCTGATACCAAAATTTCATTCATGAATTTCCTGGATTAAAAAAAAAAAAAAAGTCTTAAAACCTAAAAAAAAAAAAAAAAAAAAAAACTTTACTCTTACTCCGGAATCACTGAGATATATAAACCCTACATACTACTTAACAAATCACAGCCCAAAACAAAGCATGAACATTAACCTTCACGCAGGCGTATTTCCTGATCTTTATAATCCTTCGAAAATCAGTGCTCAAAAAGTAATCTCTTAATTAGGTCCCTTGCCATTGACTATGTAGGGAAATCCTAAGGCAATGAACAGATCACTCTTAAGTCCTTTCAAGGAAAGGTAATCAAATAATCCTGTGTTCTGAAAATGAAATGCATTTCACAGAAACAAAGAAGCCACACAAACTCATATGAAATCTGGCTCTTCGAGGAGCAACAGCGATGCGCTTCACCTTTCCAAGGCTCTTTTCTGGAGACTGGCAGGACAAGGGAAGCAGAGAGGGTTCAGGACACCCAGAGTTTTTCTGGACTCTCGGAACCCACCCTCCACGCTCCAATGGCTCTGGATAACCCCCACCTGCATGCATGCATGAATACAAACGAGGAGATGGGAGAAGGCTCGCAGTCACCCCTATCTGGGTTCACATCTGTAAATAAGATGTAGCTGGACACCTAAGCCATCTCCCACCGCGGTGGGCCGCCACGATATCCTGTTCAGAACTGTCCAGCGGGTCCTCCTAGTCCCCAGAGGCCTGACCGGAATTTAGTTCCCGGGGTTTTGCTGGGGACTTCCACTGTGGCCCTCCAGCTCTGACCAGAGCCCCTCTAGGGCCTTCTTTACCGCCAGGCCTAGGTGGTGCGCGGGGTCTGCGGTTCTCATAGTGCAGGATAGGCCGCACCCACAAAACGGGACGGGCCACCGCTACTGCCACTCAGGCCCCAGGGGCTCAGGATCCGCAGAGCCTGGCCGGTCCCGCGCTCCTTTCCCCCAGAAACACGGCTGCCACACCCGATCCTGGCTCACCGCGCTCAGTCCTCACCGGACCCGACAGCTGCCCAGCCCCGAATTCCGCGACGCGGGGATGCGGGAGCGCTTGGTCCTCAGTGCGCAGGCGCGGGGACGGGGGCGCGTCCCGGGCTCCTCTGGGCTGGAAGATGAGGAGGCTGAGCAGGGAAGCAGCGCCCGGAGGAGCCGGCGTCCTGTGGTGGCCCTGTGAATGACCCGTGCTACTGCTAATAATCCAGGCCTGCTCCCTTGTGGGTGCTCTACCTCCAAACCAGAAGGCCGTATGCTCTGGCTCTTTCACTCGGTCCAAGGCTTCGCGCCGCTTCTAAACGACGGGACCCGGAGGATCCTGGACTTTCGTTTCTTTTCGGACTGCGCAGGCGCGCGGGGAAACCGGCGCAAATCCGCCCCCGCTGGGGAACGAGGGAGGGTAGGGGGCTCCACTTGCTCAGGGGGGGAGAGAAGGTTGGCGTGAAAAGGCCAGAGTGAGCCGCAGTGGCCAAACACTTAGGACCCTAGCTGTGGTCGGGACCAGCAAACCCCGGTAGCCGCGAGCGTGGTCCAGCGCGAGACGCTCGGCCTGTGGCGTTTGCTGAGTGACCGCCGGGGTCCTCGTGTGCCAGGCCCAGCAGGGGACCGCGGGGTTGTGTCTCCGTGCTTGGGGCTGTTTCTCCACGCGTGCCATTCTTTGGGT